AAGCTTCGAGATTGAGTTAACCCGGGCGAAAGCGTCGCTCTTAGCCCCCCGTTTGATCGGCCAGATTCGCTTGAACGGTCCGGGCCGTCCGCCATCTTACAAAAATGGCCGTCCGCTACGCGAGGGGGTGCAGGGGAGAGGGATTTCCCTCAGGGGATCCAAGGGGGAATAGCTACCATAGACAGATAGCTAAGTTGCGTTCGCGAGAGAGAGAGAGAGAGAGAGACAACCAGAAAACATAAGACTCAGAGCCACCCCTCTTTCCTATGTAGACTCTATACCCAGCGGTATAACCTGACTGAGTCGGGTGACTGGTTGCCGCTCTGCTTCCTCCCAGTCGGCGCTGCCTATACCTCCGCCACTCCCGGAGACGAGAAACGGAGGTCGGTAAACTAAATTTACTATGTGATACACTTAGAGGAATCCCGCGCTACGCGGCGTTTCCCCGAGTCCTCGCTTCTTTTTGAGACACTTTCGGTACGTTAAGGCCAAACTTTTTCCTTCGGAGTTTTACTCAGCGTCTTCTTCAGTAACTTGAGAAGACGCCTTAACCTCCTACCTCTCGGTATTGTCTCTATATATCTGTACCCTCGTAGATGCACACTCTACATCCAACCCAACCTAACCTCCTTCGCTGAACCCATTACTCCACTTCTTCGTCCTTACCAAAGGATATGGGTACCTAACCCCCCCCTGGATACCTACGCCCGGTATTCCCTTAGCTATCCGTATACGTGGCAGAACGAATCCTTCATTCGCTTTCGGTTGCTTTTCTTTTCCTCTCTTATTCCCGGGTCACGCGAGACCAGCCAGTTTTGTCGGGGCAAAGTGTTTTCGAGAAGCCGTCACTCGCTCGCGGAAGTAACTAGCCCGACTGCTCGTCGCACGTGGAACTTCATATATTTTCGATATACGATACGGATCGATGAAGGAAATATTTTTTTTTTTTTACAGGGGGCAAAAAAATATATTTTACAGCATACAGGCGTCCGCGGATCTTTACCTCGGATTCCTGAGTGTCCGTCGTCGCGTTCTTTAAAGTATAGTCCGTTCGCGGTAATAACGCGGAAGAAATAAAGACGATCAACGTGACGTTTATCGAGCTACCTGTACACTGTTGCAATTAGTGACAGCTACCCGACTCCGTTTTTGCCAGGCACGATAACGCACGCTTCGTCCCTCTCTCTCTCCTACGCGTTAAGCTCCGTGCGTCTCGGGCGTTACGCGTTGCGCGGAGCGATCGTAAAAATGAAAATATAAAAACTTTCGCGAAGCGCTGCTTTGGTTTTACGGCACGCCCGGAGATGGCTCCCCGCGTGGTCTAGGCATTGTGGCAGCTACGATTTTTATTAGCTTATTGCTTTATTTCTCTGTCAGAGTTTCCACGTTGCTGACTCCGGACTGCCTAACCTGCAAGTCTGCGCGGCGGCACTCGCCGCTGTTCCTACCGTGTGCACAATAGCCAGATTCCATAAGAGAGCTCCCGTTGGCCCCCGCAACCCGGGACAATAAAAGAAGCGCAACCAGACCCATTGAGAGACGTTCGAGAAAAGAACATATACTAAGTGGCAATAACGGGTGGGCGTGAAAATAAGACCAAAAAAAAATTTTCACCACAATTCATAAAAAAAAATAAAAAATAAAAAAAAATACGAAGTCATTAAAAATTCATCGTAGTTTCTGTAGTTCAACAGGGAAAAAAAAAAAAAATGGCAGATTTATCGAAACCACTTTGCGAATCCTTGTCGCCCAGCGTATCGCTTGGCCTTCCTCACCCCGTGACACAACCCCCAGGTATAAACACCCTCGCATTGTGTCGAGGGCGGTGGCCTCGTAAGGGTAGAATCTGACCCCGTGGAGTATTGTATTACCCAGCGCGTCGCCAAGCTACCCTTACGGCAAGGGTAGAAAATTCCAACCCCGTTCACCCATACGAAAGGCGTAACGCTCTATCGTTGGCAATTAACCCGTTCGACCTAAAATCGATGTATCTGATTTAGATTCAATTTTGAAATTCTAAACTGCACGATAAATCCAGATTATGCAAAATATATGTATCTGCGTTTGTGCGGTTTAAATTCCCCGGCTACGTTTATATGGCAGATACGTGTGTATATATATATATACTGTATCGATAATAATTCACGGCAAACGATATCGAATGTCCGCCATGCAACGAAATGTCGTATAGGTATTTATAAGAGTGAATAAGTCAGCGCGTATCGAGGGTCGTCCATGTATAAATAGCATGGTCGAATAACTGATATAGATTGGAAACTCTATAAGAAAATAGATGAGGGGAAGAGGGAGAGATTAAAAAAAAAATTTCAAATCGCTACTCACTGTCATATCAAATTATGCGAGACTAGAGTTTCACGCGTTACGTAGGATAAGTGCGTTTCTCGAATTTCATCCTATCATTCCTTTCCGTTAGCAAATATATATATATATATATATGTTCAGTGTGTAAAAAGAAAAGTTCACACTAAGATTATCATAAGCAAAGATTGAGCATAGACGTAGCGGCGATTTGAAATTGAAAAAAAAAAACATGCCTGGGATCGAGCGGGAAATTTGAAAGTGGAGGCGCGTCAGTTTTTACGGCTTACGTAATGGGGTAAAAATAATGAAACAGAGTAAACGAGACAAAGGAGGGCGCCTTTTAAGTACCGACGGATAAAGGCAAGGATGAACGAGAGTAAAAAAGAAAAAAAAGCCAAGAGACGTAGAAAAAGCCTAATTCAAGTCCAGCTCTGATTTGTCGAGACAATCCTAATCCGCCGTCCTGTAACAGGAATAAAAGTGAAATCGTCGATCCGTAAATTCACGGCTGTGTACCGATTAACCGATTTACTACGTACGATATATACAGGGTGACTCGCGTAAAACTTTAAGCTTCGAATCTGATTAACGAGTGACGATGAGGTTTTAGCGAATTTTCACGTTCCTTTCATTTCATCCGAGTCGACTGTCACCGGTCAACGACATTGATCACCGACGTTCTAATTAAGCTACAGCCGAATACCGTTCGCCTGGATCACCCCGTATACGATGTATAAGTTCGAACGGCGGATTCATTGCGATTCGAGGAAACAGCCAAATACAGCAGAACAAGAACCAATGGATTCGTCCTGTTATTGGCATCCATTGTCCACGTCGGTTCTGAATGAATTAGGGTTAAAATTTGATTGATCGCACGCGGAGCACAGTGAAGCCTAGATAAAGGGGGGGAGCGGAGGGAGGTCCTGGACAAAAGAAAATTTGCCTATCGTCACGCGTATTCCGACAATCAAAGTCCTATCATCGAAATGCCCTGCTTAAATAATCGAAAAGACCCTTAACTTCTCTCTCTCTCGCTCTTACACGTACCGAACGCCATATATCTCCCTCGCACTCCTTACTCACAAACCGAGTCTATTTCACGTAGAAGAGCTCGGGGGTCCCGAGTGTCGCCATTGAAAAGACGCCCTTACGGCACCAAGAGTGTTATCGTCACGCAAAAGTCGTGTTAGCGACTCGCCAAGTGGTCTCGGGGCGGGA